TTTACATTGACTCATGCATAACAACTTGTTCCTACGGGGGTCGATAGGGGGCATTCACGCACAAAAGGTGAAATCACCCCACAATAACACGTAATATACCAACCATTCTTATAAATACTATACTGGGCAAAAAATCAATAAAATAAATAAGAAAAAAAAACAAATGCGCGATTCCACGCCATATTTTCGCGATTCACGCCACAAAGAAACCGCTGACCGACCACGACAATCCTCTTAAAACAGCAGTTATGGAATTTGTAACTCATAATATGAATACAGAGATGTATTGTTAATACTATTGTAGATAATTTCTCGGTGTTTTGGAGCATTGAGCTTACAATGACCTAGAGAATATTGTAAAATTTTAGTTAGTCACGTGAACAATTTGTTTAATACATGCATGTAGAAATGGACACTTTTTAACACAAAAATTTACATTTTGGCTTGACTGTTATGTTGGATAACAAATCCAAATCATCCAACATAGTTTAAATATTTCAATACATTAGCTGCGAATAGGATAAGAATTTTTTGCTGCATCTATGGAAATTTTCTATTTGTAATGTGGAAGCACTGTAGCAAGAAAACAAGCTGACTCGTACTCAGTCCCTCAAATGAGGATTGAACAAAATAATGGTGCATGATGGGAATGGTCAAGAGTAAAATTTTTCTTCGTCGTTCCCATCATGCAGCGCACACGTCCGTCCACTGACCTATATATAAAATCGTAATTGACGACTGGGTACGAGTCAGGAAAACAAGGCCAAATTCGATAACTGCTGTATTAATTTTCTCTCGATTTGACTTGAATTCATCTTGAACCCCCGAGTAAAATGTCAGGAACGATCAGGGCAGGACACTTGGAAATAGTGGTAGAGAATGTAAATGTGGTGAAGGTGTATGGTGACGAAAATTTGACTACTTTGCTCAGCCAGAAATTTGAGGAACATTTCGGTAACAATATTGTTGTAAGTACTGGAAGACTCATCCTTGGACCACTTGCAACAGAGACTAACGTAACATCGGGAAAAGCTTACCTTGGAGCACCGCTGAAAATGGCAGTCATACGTATTCTCGAAAACGAAAGTTTTAAAGTCATAAGCATGGCGCTTAATAATGAAGGGTGTGAAAAGGTGATGATGTATAAAGAAGCTTAGCAGCGAAGATGAAAGGCGAGGGCAAAATGATACGTACAAGTAGAAGACAAAACAGCCAACATATTTATTCTTATTTCGCTTATTTATATCAATATGGGTAAACAAAAAATAATTGTTTGAACACGTATAGTAGAATAGATTAACGTTTTGCAAAGTGCAATGTAGCTTCAATAAAGAGCATGAAAGTAAAATTTTATTTCTTTCGGCAATCTTTTTTCGTATTTTTAAATTTTAGGCTTGAAAAACATGCAGTAAATAGTCATTAATACAGGACATCTTGAGAATTCAATATATAATTCAAAACAAGACGCAGTTTGAGACTGTAAATTTTCGACTTTATTTCAAAGTCATCTTCAGACAGAATGAAATACAATACTTTACAACACACATATATATATATATATACAACGCAGAGAGAGAGTATCTGTCATGTGGGCGGAAAGAAGGATTATCCAAGCGAAGCGAAACATGATAAAGAAAATAGTAATAACTGAAAATGGAATATTTAGCTATATTTACAACATTGTTTAATATCATCCAGGTTGTGCGCTGAGATAATTGATGTTTAAGTTCAGTAGTTTCGGTAGTAAGCTTCTGAAACGCGATCATGTCATGAATGGCGTCATTCAACAACAGATGCAGATAGCGTGCTTGGGCCTTCTTTCTCTTCATGCGAGTGATGTTCTTCCATCTCACAAATTTCGGATAAACTTGATTCTTCTTACAATCGAGTAAGAATTTTAAATCAAGTTGGGCTTTCTCGAAGCGTCGTAAAGATCGTTGGTAGCGTATGCAAAGCTTATGCAAATCAGAGTCGGTGCTTCGGAGATTAGTCCAAAAACCATGACCAGCCGATAATTTAAAAAATAAAGTAAAAAACAAATTCCGAAAATACAGGACATCTTGAGAATTCAATATATAATTCAAAACAAGATGCAGTTTGAGACTGTAAATTTTCGACTTTATTTCAAAGTCATCTTCAGACAGAATGAAATACAATACTTTACAACACATATATATACAACGCAGAGAGAGAGCATCTGTCATTTGGGCGGAAAGAAGGATTATCCAAGTGAAGCTAAACATGATAAAGAAAATAGTAATAACTGAAAATGGAATATTTAGCTATATTTACAACAATGTTTAATATATTAAAAGGATTAAGGTATATATTGAATTCTAAGGTATATATTGAAAAGGATTAAGGTATATATTGAATTCAATTATATATTGAATTCTCAAGATGTCCTGTATTTTCGGAATTTGTTTTTTACTTTATTTTTTTTAAATTGTTGGCTGGTCATGGTTTTTGGACTAATCAGTGAATAAGGATGTATTCATTTTTGTGGATGTATTAGTTTGATCAATTATACTATAGAATTGGATGAATAGAAAATAATTAATTATTGAGTATAATTATATACTTTCAAAGCTTATTCCTTGATAAACAAACAATAGAATATTACATAATATATAATATATATATATATATATATATATATATATATATATATATATATATATATATATGTATGTATATATACCTTTTGTGGGGTGATATATCACACTCCAAATTGCCACTCATTCCCTCATGTTGATCTACTTCCATAGAGTCAGAGTCTGAGATATTTTGTCCTTTGTCAACAACTGGAGATACTGAGGGCAAAATCAGAGGCACACGATTATCTTGCTTACATGGGGTAGAGGTTTCCACGTCGCCTAAATAAATCAATCGCGATTTATTAATTTATTTTGGACCCCATGGCATCACACGTTGAATGCTATAAAATATTTATGTAAATTTTTACTGTGCTTGCCTTACATATTTGACACCATATTTGCGTTCGCGTTCTCTGCTTGCATTCTATCTTTTTGTTGCCTCGAAACATCAACATCTGACCTAAAGGGTATGCGAATCATATTCTCTATAAAAGGTCCAAAACTACTGAAGCAAAATAAAAAATAATGAAACTCTACACACCTTCTGCGGTATTCTAATGACAACAAATGAGCAGCAAATTCACTGTCAGTACTAGAACCGTATCCAGCCTCATTTTTCGCGCCTTTCCACGATTTAAAAATCGTCAACGACAAATAAATTTGTTTATGTTGACGATTCCAAACTAATTGTGCGCTGTTAGAACGTTTGTATTTTCTCTTTCTGCCTGAATTCCTTCGCTTTCCCCCATGCGTCGCACCAGGTGCGGCCGCCATCTTGGATTAACAAACTTGAAAAAATACAAGTGTAGAATTTCAAGTTTGCGATGCGCAGCAGGGATGCGCACAACGTGATACTGCTCCTTTAAAATGAAATTTCCATAGATAGTGTGCCAAAATTTCCATAGAATTTTCTACAATTATTGCATTCTAATTCCTTATTAATAATGAGTATTTTTAAACAACAAGAACAAAATAGGTAATATTTATGGTTTTAAACTTTAATGATGCTATAAACTATATAAGGTATTAAGGCACATCATATAATTGTTTTACTAGTTAAGTTTTAACATTTTTCAGTTCCTTAAAAAACTCAGCTCTTAGTTTTGCTGCATCTTCATCTTTTGCACTGGATTTCATTTGCTTATGTAGGTCAAGCATTTCACTTGAAGTATCCATCATAACAGCCTGTCGTTTTCCTTTCTTCATGAAGGAATACTTGGTGGAAAGTAATGCCAAACTTTCTTGCTTAAGTGATGCCCTATGATCACTCTTGATAAGTTTCAATTGGCTGAAAACAAGCTCAACAGCAGCATTTGAAAATGGCAAGGATAACACAGTGGCTACTAGTTTCGTTAAATTGGGATAAATCGTTTCTCCAACTTGATTTTTCTCCTTAATTAACTCTTTCTCAGCCGGTACCATTGCGCGTAGAACGTGCAGGATCTATGGATGTTTTCGTTGATATCTTCGATTCAATAAACGCTATGTCGTTGAAAATACCACCATTCGATTCAGTGTAAAAATATGTACTTATTCATAACAATAGTTTCAGCCAATGGCAACATTATAGCGTATATGATCAAATTATGCAATATTACTAACAAATTATAAACATAAACATACCTTTCGCCGAACATAACTTAGGCCCTTTGAGATGTATGCTCATTGTGACACTCTTGTTCGATTAACCATTGGAAATGCTGTATACTGTCTTATTTTCAAAGTTCTATCTGTAAATTCTAGCCATTTATTACCAGATTTACATTTCTGGTCCGAGTTTGATTTTATCCAAACCGGAAATATAAAAGTGTTGAAACAATGCGATGTTTGTATCATATGACTCTGGAAAGGTCAGAAATGGATTCTACAGGTCAAATTGCACCTATACGCGTGAGTTTGACGTCATCCCGGCTAAAGGAGCTCCTTATTGGCCACGTATTACGCAATACACGCGCGTGCGAGTAAAACCCGATATCCTTGAAAAATTCAAAATAAATATTTCTATTCGCTGTATTCATACGAGATGAAACCGATACGAGATGACGATACTTTTCAGTTGCTTCTCTTCCTGGTAGAAAACGGCTTGTCCACCAGATTTATCAACAGAATGGATCCTCACCTCCACATATTGGGACAAGACAAAGACAAATTCCAGGTTCATTCAAACATGTTGGATCTTCGCTAATGCTGCACAACATTGCAAAATTTGGTTTTACTTCGACATGCATTTAAACAAATATGTTTATTTGGATGGCACAGATAGACTTTTGCATAGTTGACATTACTATATATAGAAAAAAATATATAACTATTTCCATTATATAATACATGCACAATTGTAACTTTGAAGTGTCCCTTATTAACAATGTCATTCATATGTACACACACATCCTTTCTCCGTTTTTATTGGCCACTGGCTTTCTTCCTAATTAAATTTATGAGGCTTTACACTATAAAACTTGTCTCGCAATTTTGTTGTGACACAATGAGGTGTGACACAAATCGCCACAAACACATGCTTGCCAATATTCAATAGTCAAGTCTCCCAACATTTTTGGTGCAAGTAAATGTGCGAGTATGACTTTTCGCCCCAACGATTAATTGCGGTCGAGCATGCACTCATTTTTTGAAATTACTTAGTCCAATTTCTCTCCAAATGGTTCTGTTGTTCAGCAAATAAAACTTATAAAAGCTGGCTTTTTGCCCACAATTGCGAGACAATTATAATCATGAGAGGGCTACATAATTTGATTTTAATAACAATACCATTGTCATGCAGACAAGTTGCCTATGCAACTTGTCTGCATGACAATGGTATTGTTATTAAAATCAAATTATGTAGCCCTCTCATGATTATAATTGTCTCGCAATTGTGGGCAAAAAGCCAGCTTTTATAAGTTTTATTTGCTGAACAACAGAACCATAGTGTGATGGCAACTTTACAAGCACGATACCTCTAATTAATGAATTACAAACTAAATAAATGAAACTAAACGACTACTTCTATAATGGCACCATTTTATTAAAACATCATCTATAGTTAGTAACCAGAGCCATGAGGATTCCCAACGAGTTATGATTCGAGTCACTCATTTTACTGGAATTGCTCCCCAATACAGCCATGCATTTTCGATTCATTTTTGGTGACTGGTGTTTTACAATTATATAATCATTTATGAAATCGATATATGAAGCTAGATCAACTCCTCCACTCTTCAGAAGCATTAAATTTCCTTAAAATGTTCTGAAACCATGGCCAAATGCATTTATATTTTTTATATAATTTGAAAGCACTGTATGCATGCATCATGGCCATTTTGAACTTAATAATATAACACTTGTCAAAAATCTTGTTCGCGGGTGCGAGGTATTCTCCCCACCTAAAAAGTTCCATAGATAAGTTCCACTCCCCATGAATATCAAATTTACAAATAACACTACAAATGCATGGATCCACGGTTAATACGGAAATGAGATCAGATTAACATCATGCGAAAATTATAATAATTAACTCTTTATAAATGTAGTAATCTACTGACATAATTACAGAAAGCTGCATTATTGCACTGTAAAGCAAACTCGTCGACATATATTACAGTTTGCTTGGCAGAGGAAACATATCCCAGCCAATCATTAGCCTGCACGCAAAGGAATTTGATATAACAGTGTCAAAATACGTAGTTAATGTATTCAAGACAGCGCAGCCAATCGTTAGCCTGCGCATAAACGATTTGGTCGGCTATGATATATCCTGCCAACACTTATTAGCATCACATCAAATGATACCGCTTCCATATACAACTGACAAAACACTTCTCACATACTACACGTACGCCACTCCTTTATTCGTTCTTCTACTGCAACCATCGGATACATTGCGAACAACATGTCAAGATCAGAGAACAAGTCATTCCAGATGGAGCGGGATTTGGAGGCATGCTATAAAATGGACATTGATAGCAGCCTTTTCCCACAAGAACTCATTGAGGTACGAGGTCTTTTCATACTTGCGCATTCTTTCAAAATTGTATCACATTTGTTTGTTGTTTTGCTGTTCCAAATATACTCTTTTATATTATTTATATCGTTATATACTTAATATCTTTGGTATAGGTCTGTTTCTTTCTGGAAAAAGTATGAAGCAACAGACTACAACTGTTGTAATTGGAATATTATCTTTAATTGCTGCAACCAATGACCATGCCGAACTGGCTGTAAAAATTGGATGGACGGAACCAATTGTCACTTGGATAGCAGTGGTCTTAAAAACTGGTAAGCCGTCAATTTGCCGTACCTTCACCATATAGGGCGCTATACTGTTATATACTTTTATATAGGGTAATAGGGCTTTCTTTTACATACTCCAATAGGCTGCAATTTGCTACTACATGCGCACTCCAATTTTTTAATGTGTGTAAAATTATATGCTGTGTGGACACTGTGACAGCCTTATCGACTGCTGGATAATTTGATTTTTGGCTCTGTTTATGAACGTTATTTTTTCATGATCATAAAATGCAAGGTTTTGACTGTTGAATGACATGTTTTCATCCAATATGGATAAAAAATAAGCAAATACGAGTGTCATAAAAATTGTTTGTCGAAATTGCATTTCCGCCCTTGACAATTGGGTCTAAAAGTATTGAAAATTAACTCCCAATTCAGGACTAAAGTTCACTGCATTAAATTTCAATAAAATACCTGCGTATGCATAATTATCACAAACGTCTTCTAAACCATCCCTTATATAGCTCATTGTTAAATGACACATGCGTCAGATTAATTGCTTATCTTTTCGTATGCACTGCTTCAGTTAGGCGCACCGCTGGAAACATGAGATTTCGACAAACACAATTTCGACTCATATTTACTCATTTTATCTCCATTTTGGATGAAAAATATGTCATTCAACAGCCAAAAGCCTCATGTTTATCAGTTTATGATTATGAGACAATTACGTTCATACACCGAGCAATTAACGCACAATTGCATGCTAAATTTGGATTTTGTTTTTTTAGACACCCTGTAGGTTTTGGTAGAGCATTTTTGTGGTCGTATGTCACTACATCATGCCACAAAATTAGAAATTACGTTTTTCTTTTTTTGTCAAAAATTACGTTATTTAATCTTTAACTCATAATGAATATGAGTTAACTCATATCGCGGATGAATGAGTTAAGTCATGATGCTTTCCACCCAGTGGAATGTTAATCGCTACTGCATGTTCTGAAACAAATTTATAACTTCATCAAGTAGAGCAGAAATCTTTCAAAGCAGGTAAAATTACGGCATATACGCAAGACATGTAACGCTTTTTGACAGATTACGAACTCCGCATGAGCAAGTCTTTGCCAGCAGGGGCGGAGCGAAGACTATCCTTTTCGGGGGGTGCAAGACAACTTTTTGCCGACAAAAGGGCGTGGCTAGCACGTTGTTAGGGCGTGGTCAAAACGAACCGTATTCATTTTTAACTGATGTACAACAATGAAATCCGAGTAGTAAGATAATTTATTTTTAAAATAGGCTAAATAGTTCCTTAAAATACATGGTATAAATTTCAAAAAAGCACATCCAATCGTCATCAAACGACCAATTACAAACTAAACACGTCAATTTCTCTCTCTTCTGTTTGCGTTTTTGCTTGCTACTGTCCATACTTTTAAATCATCTTCGTATTTCTCATTGTATATAAGACCGTTAGGTGTAATTTCTAAGACTTTTACTTGCTTTACAAAATTATGAAATGAAGCACATACGCATCAACCAGTCAACACGCACATGTGCTTATTAAATAGCGTATTAGCGTAATAAGTTCTTGGCCAATTTGGCTGAATGTTTGGAAAAGGGCCGAGCTTTCAGTCAACATATCCATCTTTTCGATCTCGCATTTTCTACAAATTTTCTACAAACAATCTCTCTCCAATCAGGTATTGCCTATTGGCTTGATCCAATTCATTTTGCCAACAACTGATTTATTGTGCCGACGGACACGGCATTGGGGGGGGGGTGCGGCACCCCCCTTAGCTACGCCCCTGACAGGCCAGTGTATGCGGGCATGGTTTTTTGTCCAATTACTAGGTTTTTATGCATGTAATAAAGGTTTCCTTTAATTAATTGCGTCATAACATTTATTTAGTTACTTGGCGCCTGGCCATATCCTGCTGCACTTTTGGCTTTACTTCCAAGTTCGAACGCGTAATATGAAGATTTCCGGTTAAACATTCAGTCGGCCATTACCAATCGCTTACACGTGAGACGCGTTTTGCTAAAACAGAAATAATTTAGCAAAAGCAGTGTTTCAGCGAAAACTGCACGATTTATTACCCACGACGCACATAGTTAAATTTTTACTTTCTAGTTAACTCTAAAATAAACATACTCATTCCATATAAAGATATTAAAGTACGTTTTAAACTCAGATGGCACATGGACCTACATGCACTGGTGATTTATCGCAAGCATCTTTGTGTTTTCCGTTCCTTCTCAGGACTTTTCCCATGAGAAAATTATCAATTTTGGCTCTACAAAAAGTAGAATAATATAATAATATAAAAGTAGAATAGTCTTTTCTCCAGCCACTTTCGTTTCCCCTCACGGACAAATACCGACAGATTAACGCCTCACGGCTACACAGACTTTATAATAGCTGCATGCCTGCATCTGTAATTTTACACTATTATTAATCCTGAGGATGACTACAAACTAGTCGAAACGTTACTGTTATTAAAGGTAGGTTACAGTCGCATCTGTGCATGTGCTGGACTTTTGTTTATGTGGGGACACACAGGAAGTTGTCATCCTCTGTTTGTGCTCGGTCCAGTCTCATTTCTGGCAATAACATGTGTGTTGTTTTTATCGCAAGTGAATTTAATAGCCCAAGGAGCGAAGAAGTTTCCAGAATATTTTGAGCTTTTTTGAGCGACAATTCGTCAAATAACGAGTTATTGAGGCAACATGTCGAGTAGGAAAGGATACTACGCTAGCAGGGATGCTTCGAAAGTGTATTAAAGTGCATCTATTTTATTGTTTTCCTTGATGGAGAGTGCATTCCATTTCTGCGTTTGCCATGAATGGATATGATATACCTACATCCTCAAGCTTCTACCAAAGGTTTTCAAGAAAAGAAT